AAGATTTCCTTTCAATGCATGAAAAACAATGAAGTAAAATTATTTCCTCCCAGCCTCAATAACCAAATAAGAAAAATTAAAAGATTTAATTTTGTCTCCACTCCTTATACTCGGACTTTTGAAATTTAGTCCCTCTACTTGTCGGATTTAAAACTAAAAGACATAGTCATAATTTGAAGTAAATAAATCCAAAAAAAATAACTAGTTATAAAATTTGATAAAACATAAACTAAAATCAAGAGGAAAAAACTAGATTCTTCATCGCCACTCCATTTTCTCACCAGCCAATCAGACAAGAAAGAAGAAAAACAAGTAAAAAAAAAAGGAAAGTTAAGATGGTGAAGGAATACCAGAACAAAGTTATTAGCACAGCCAGGTCTTTTTGGAGCAACGTTGTCCTGATGAATTATGTCCCCAGCTGAACTCAACCCAGCACTCATAACTACTGTAAAAATTACTATCAATAACCCAAGAGTTATTTCCATTTTTGGAAAGAAACACCATAAAGAAAACAGATATAGAAATGTTCTTGGGGTTTTTCTGTTCCTTTACTACTAATTCAGAGAATTAAAGAAGAAGAAAAGAAAAACAGATACAAGGTACACAAGACGGAAGCAGGAAGGGAGGGAGGGGAAAATATCACCTTTATTTATTTGCTTTTAAACTTTGGGTGGGTTTTCGTCCTATCCTGTGGTCCGGACATGAAATTAACACCTAGTGGGAATTCCTTTGTACTATTTTCATGTGTTGCTCACACTCTTGTCCAATCGTGCATTACACGCGCTACCATTTTTGGTACACAATGTAGAGCAAAATTATTGTACAAATTAAGATGTTATCGTCGACGTTAATTGATTAGATAACGTGATAATTAACTATTTTATTTAGTGTTATGTATATATTCTTCTAATTTACTTATATTTTTAATAAATTAAAATAAATTTTATTCTTTAACTGAAATATGACACATGGATTTGAACATAGAAACTAAATATGTAATCTATCCATTGAACCAAAACCAATGTTTAATATACAAAACACAATTTACTGTGTAAATAATTAACTTAAATTCATAATATTTTATATATATTAATTTTAAAAAATATTTTTACATTAACTTAATTTAAAAATATTTTTTATTTAAATATATATATATTATTTTTATCTAATCTTTTAAAAATATATTTTATTATTATTAAAACTTTTCAAAGTATATATTTTATGTTAATTTACTAATTGTTAGTTAAATTATTAAATATTTTTAATCTTATCTTAATTATAAAATATTTTTAATATTTTAAAATTAAAAAAAAAATCAAAATTAATTTAATAATAAAATATATTTAATAATTTAATATAAAAAATATTTGTTAAAGTTAATATATATATAATATTATGAATTTAAGTTAAGTATATATACTAAGATACAAAATATACACATCATTTTGTTTATTTTATATCAAGTATTGATTTGGATCAATGGTTGGTATATGATTGGTTTCCCAAGTGATTGAATCCCTTTAACCTTAATTTACTTTGTTTTCCTTCAATAAGACATACGTTATCATTCAGTTGGAGGAATAATTTTATTTTAATTTAGTAAAAGTGCAACTAAATTGAGATAATATGTAAATAATATAGATCAAATATATAATTATACTAAAATATTTAATTATCACGTCACTTAATTTGTTAACTCGTGATGATCAATCATATAGTTAACCTTTTTATTAATATATGATTAATTACCTCGAAGATTATAATAGAGATTAGAATATAATCAGAAAATTATACATTATGTGCGTTATCTATGTTAAATTAATATAATTTTTATAGTTATAATCATTGGTGTTTTATATGTTAATCGATTAATTTATATTAAATATTATAGATGTTTAATATGAGATGATACTCTTAACTTAATTTACTCTATTTATAAACGTTACAAATTTAAATCTCTAATTACATTAAGAGAATTTCATATTTTGTTCCATTCGTAAAAAAATTTAAAAAAAAGGAAAAAGGAAAGTGAAATTGGAGGGCACAAACAAGGGAATGGTTCCTTTTCCATGTTAGCGGTGAGAGTAGTTGAAAAGGGGCAAACGCGTGGGACAATATCTAATTGAACTTCAAAGGTTACCGGCTACCGCCTAGGTTGGTTAAAAGATTCCGTAGAGACCGTACAGATAAGACATGACAATAAATTATTACTACTATTGGTGGAATCCCATTCCCAACCATTCCAAGTCAGACACGTGTTGATAAAGATGGATCTGAGCTCAAGGTATGAAATGGGGATAAATTTTAATTTATAAAATTTTAGAAATAAATTTAAATTTATATAAATTTAGAGAATCGAAAATACATTTTTAATAAAAATATAAAAAATAAAATATATAATAATTTTAAATTTTTAAGAAACTCGTCATGTAGATCTACTCTGCCCATATGGACACCAGTCATTTGTCGGCGTTCACACATGCATAGTTTATAATAGTTGGATCACACGCGCGGAAATGACACGTGTGAACCCCTTCCGAGCATGGAAGAGGGATACCACCATGTAGATAGGGTATACAATTTGTATGTTAACGCCATAAGATTGTATTATATGACCTAGGGGTATTCATTCGGTTAAAACGGTGGTCGATCGAACCGAATTAACCATAATCGAATTAATCAAACTTTTTTTTCTTTAACCGTTAACCGAACTGAATTTTTTTTCGAACATATTAACCGAACCGAATAAATTTCGTTTAATTCGGTTAATTTCGAATTAACCGAATTTTTTTAATTTTTTTTAATTTATATAAAAAATAAATATTTTTTAATTCAAAAAAAGTTTATAATTAATTTAAATAATATATAAATATAAAATAAAAATTTTAGATAAATTTTTTAATTAATTAATATTGATTTAAGTTTAAAAGTTATTGGATCTTAAATTATTAATTGGATTTTAAATGGTTTGGGCTTAGCCCATATGTTATATATAATATATTTAATATTTTTTAATTAAAAAACAGTTTACAAATAATTTAAATAATATATAATTATAAAATAAAAAATTTATATAATTTTTTAATTAATTAATATTGATTTAAGTTTAAAAGTTATTGGATCTTAAATTATTAATTGGGTTTTAAATGATTTGGGTTGAGCCCATATGTTATATATAATATATTTAAAATTTAAAATTTAATTTCGGTTAATTCGGTTAATTAACCGAATTCGAACCGAATTAACCGTTAACCGAATTCTAAAAATTTTCTTAACCGTTAACCGACCGAACTAATTCGGTAACCAAACCGAATTAGCCGATTAACCGAATTAGTTCGGTTATTTGAACACCCCTATATGACCCCATAATTTGACCCCATACCATCATAATACAACACAAAGCACAAGAAGAAGAGATATTAATAGTGATGTATCAATATTTATATATCACGAGGATTTAGTATGTTAATTTTTACATAAATATAATATTTTTATTGAATAAAAATTATGGTAGTAATAGTTGTTGGTATTTTACTCTTTTTTTATAGAAGAGAACTTATCCAACTAAATACATTAGGTATATGTGATTCTATCGCCTTAAAGTAGTGATAGTATTTCTGATAGAGGGTTATTGAAAATCTGAATATTTCTAGCAATTTTCTTTACCTTCTTGATCAAGCTATCAGCCAAATTGTTAGTTTCACGCGAAATATATCTCACTTAACGTTTTAATTTCTTCTCAGAATGTCGAATATATATTCCAGTAGGAGGTAATAAATATTGTGTTTCTTTCACATTGTATTCGCTTTAGGATATCTAGGTTAGCTATTTCTATTTCTTTTCCTACTAAATTTTAAGCATGGGTGAGTCCTACGTGAAGGCCCCATAATTCAATTTCTAAACTCAAACATACCCTTATCGATTTTTGAAACCCAACCAGCCATGGCTCATCAATTTAACTAAAAACTCGTGACCAAACATAATTGCTCGAACTTAGGACTTAAAAATAGCAACATTCCTATTAATCATTGAGGCTAGTGGGTTACGCTGTCTCCATTCATAAAAGACAAGACATCATCAGCTGAGCAATCATCAACAAGTTCTTCATCAACCTTAACATTCCGAAACATATGAATCTCAACTTATCTGCATGCAAGGAGTTAAACAATAGTGCCTTAAAACATCAATTGACTTCAACATCTGAGACAAACACCGCAATGGAATCAAAACTCAAGGATATACAGGGGGGGAAAAGCTCCTAAATCATATTTGTCAGGATTATCAACCCTTACAATGAAATCATTTCTGTTAACAATTAAATAGTTAACTAAATCCTTCCTCTCACCCGGTCTGATGTCCCAATGATGCATGATTCTATTTTGAGGGGTAAATTTTTAAAATTTTAGAAAGTGTAAACTTCTAAAATTTTAGGGGCCGGAAAATAAATTGTCAATTAAAAATACAAAAAATATTTAAAATATATATTAATTTAAAATTTTTAGGAGAACGATTACTTCCACCCGCCTCTCTTAAATTTATCCCTTGATATGCCCCTTGTGATCGGATTCATTATTCCTCAATCTCTTTTCTGGTTATGAAATTTAATACATTTGCTACTTTGAACTTCTTCACGTTATACGGTTACAAGAAATATTCATTTTAACAAAATGAATATCAACATGGACCGATTCGAGCAGGTTATGTCTGCAAGGTAAATATACGTTGTCAATAGTTAAAAAAAATATGAACAAATACTTTTTCATGATTACCTCGCACTAAAAAAATAAACACAACACGCACAATCATCAAATCGGTTAATTTTTTTTTGGTTCGATTTCTAATGTATGAGTCAGACAAATAATGGCATGCATGATAATATTAGTAAAAAGATGAAAAAAATTTGAAAACTATCAAATATTTATTGCTATTACATTATGGGGGAAACTGCAACATTTTTTATACAAACAGGCTGACATAACCCTAATATAAAAAATATATATAAATTTGCTGAATATCAAATCTTAAAAATAGCTACATGAAGCAAAGAACACCTGCATCTATGTCCTCACTTTCTACTCTGCTAGCCCTAAAGGCTAAAAGGATTCAGGCTCGCCTTTTTATCCTGCCTCAGTTCTCTCCCCTACCTATTGGTATACAATCATATATATGTTTATACGTGTATTTACAAAAGGAAAACAGACACCAGAAAAAGGAGATGAACGGCCAAATTTTACAGGAAAGCTATTGAAAATTAAGTCTTTATTTGGTTTTACAAATCACTGATGCATATGGAAATTTTCCTTGCATGTCTTGACAGTAACTTTTTTTCCTTGTTATTTCAACTTTAATTCTCTATGACAAGTCTTCCCTCTTCCTATGAACCTCTTGAGAGAGAAGCTTGGTGAGTTAACCGATAGTTTCCATCATTCGGTCTTTCATTCCCACTGTTTATGGTATTTACTTTTGAACAGAGGAAGAAGAAAGAGGATGTGTATATGGTGACATGCCAAACACTGCATCAAAGTTTTACAATCAAATACAATATATATAAATAGATAGAGATTGGGATGATATTATAAAACAAAAAGGCTGGAAAAATCCAAACCTGTGCCAAATCCAGTAGTTTTGACTGTTTTCGATATTCCTGCTTGTTGCTGCCATGACCAGTGCTATAAAACCAGCAAGCAAAAAGCCCCATCGAAATCGTTTCATTATAGTTTTTACTAGATTATTCATCCATTCTCTGATCCGCCACCTGTGGTTAGAAAAAGAGGGTACTCGAGTTTCTTAGAATAGAAAGTTAAGTAGGGCATCCGGTAAACACTAATGTGTTCTTTCTTGAAAGAGAAAGTTCAATAGTTCATCCAGTAAACACTAGTGCACTGTCTTCGACTATAACATTTCTGATTATACGGTGATGTTTCTTTTGGGAATAAACTTCTCTAACGACAAGCATGGTTTCCAGTTTCAGGAGAAAATCTTAGACTTGAAACGTCAGATAATAAATCAAAGCAACACCAATGTTCAAAGCGTAGTAAGCAAAAAAGTTCAAAATTGTAAAGAACCATAAGTTTCAACCCTCTCAGTATAAATTACTAATAACTAAAGGCCGACAGTGTGCTAGTGCATGAAATCTCAAGTATGTGTTATATTTATATCAGGAACCGAAAAAAACAATATGCATGAACTGCACGATGGTAAAGAAGAGAATCTCACCTCTCGAGTGTATTTAAACACAAATCCATTGAAAATGAAAGCGACCTATACTTGGTAGAGAACTCTATCAACCACCCAACAAGAAGAGCTAGTGCCCCAATTGCCATGACTAGAATAATATTTGATGACCTGCACAACTTAGCTTGGTCAAACACCTGCCTTATCTGTTAGAACAGGGTCGTTATTTAAGATAATACAAATGCAATGAGATCCATATACCTTGTTGCCTTGGTTATGGCCATCAGGGCAGTAAGGATAGTCACCACCGTGTGGATTGCCCTTTTATAAACTTCACCAATTGTGGTAAGGTAAACAAAGGTGCTCACCACAGCCAAGAATGAGAGCCAAAAGTCAAAAAACTGAAACATTTCACAATTTGCAATTCAGTATTAGCTCAAAACAATTAATTGAAAATATGATAGATAATTTAGTAGCAACGATATGCAATATGCCCACAGGTTTATATATAAGTTGGATTTGTGTTTTTGATAGCATACTTATCATATGCTTTTTCAACGTTTGTCATGATAATATCATCCATCTTAGGGGGGGATGAAATACCAACATATACCTGTAAGACACCAAAGGATAATGCACACCAGGTGCCCACATCACATGCATGATATAATCCACTAGTAATCCCACTAGCTGTGTAGATCACCCATTCTGCAAAAGCCTGCATAAAAGCAACTAAGTTTTTTTTTCTAAATAACGACTATCAAAGAATGAATTAGCAAGTTCATGTTGGGCGATTAGAATCAGTTCAATTCCAATGCTTAATGTTCCTTTACTCAAGAGTTGGTTGATATCAATTATCTCCAAAATACTGTAACCATGTCAGAACTTTTCCGGCATATTAATACCCTTCCAATTAATCGTTATGTGTGCCTTTGAACTGTTCTAATGATTCATTAAAAAATGTTGATCGATATTTTTCAGAACTCTAAATCAAATGCAAATGCAGGTTCATATATGGATCTTTACCTTCTGCCTGAGAGCCCAAAAAGCAGGAAGCACAGCTGCACCATTTGACGCTATTAGAGCAATTGATTGCCAAAGATGTCCTGCATCAGTTTCCAAGTTCATGATTGGCTAAATTTTATTTAATAGCATTACCTAATACCAACCCCTGGGATTCATTTCAAATGCAAAAAAAAGTACTAATAAACCTTTTCCTAAGCTAATACAAGACCCATCAAAAAGCATATGCAGCTTTTTGATGCACTTGACTAAGGGCTCGAAAGCTATAGTGTCTGATCATAAATTTTAGTTGGAATTGACCAGACTGAGCCAATCATTACAAGCTTTGCCAATCTTTCACCTCCACAACCCCCACAGAAAAACAATAAAATAAATAAAAATAAATAAACTTGAGTTAAGTAGACATATGATCTAAATATTTTTCTGAATCTATCATTTCCCGGAAAGAAGGATTAAAAATAGCTACTTTGGAACCATAAACAATAATGTTGATGAATTGAAAGGTAATGAGAGGGATGTCAGTCATATTTTTGCATTCAATCCCAAAAAGAATTTACCTTGACGTGATACAATCTCAATGCTACAATCAAAGCCTCCATGATTCCGATCACAAGCACAAAAGCTGAGAAACAGAATAGTACAGTTACAAGGAAATGAAGAATGCACTTCAGACATTCATTGTGTCCTTAAACAAGGAATCAGATGCAATTAAATCTAATAAATAAAATATTTTTAATAATAAAAAGTCTAAAAATACAGAGATGGCTAATACCTATATGATGTTAATCCACTTGCATCAAGAGCAGATCTGCAATCACCATGATAGGAGCACCTTTTCGGGCATCTTTCAAGCGAAATAGACATAGTAGTCTGCCCGTTGGAAGTGCCACTAGTGTTGTTTAAATGTCTTAATGCAATATTCCAGATTCCTTCCTTAATGTACAAGATGTAAAAATCGACCTTTTCCTCACTTGAACTGTACAATACAAAAAACATGGAGCCATGACTGCTGCTTGACTTGTTTACATAATAAAAGTCCCAGTCAACAAGTGACGGCAATCCACCGTTTCTAACATATACTTCATAATTTATCTTTCTATCTGACATCAGGCGAATATGGAGATTTCCACCCGCCGCACCACGAGGAATATCCAGAATAAAATAAGTCCAGGTATCTACTCCTCCAAATGAGTAGTTGCTTAAAAGGGGCTCAAGAAGAAAATTGGCAGCATCCGACATCACCTTCTCACCATATGGCAAAAAATACGATTCGAAAGGGGTGGATTCTTTCCTGAGAACCGTCTGCAAACAACCATTGTCAATAACTTACTCCTGCAAATGAGTTTCTTTGAGCATTGACGGAAAGAAAAGATAGTCGAGGAATAAAACTGTTCATAAATCTAATTAATAATAATAATAAAACTAAAATGGAAATCAGGAATCACTGGATGCATCCCATTGCTCAATGCCTAAGTAAACACTTAGATGGCAAAATTACACAACCAAAATTTGGCCCCTCTTTGCTTAAAATGAGTACTTCTAACAATCCTCAATATTTAAGGCCATAAATTTGTTGGTGAAGTTTCACCCTTTCAGTCCATGATATCAGATTGTCAAGATATGATGTCCAATCACCCACGATTGAAATTCACAATGTCATCTTCTTATCTTTAGTTTTGTGTATGTAACAAGCAAGTAAATCGTTTCTCTCTCTTTCTTTTTCCTTCAAACCTGATATCTACTTTATCATCAAAGATTTTAATGATATTATTCAATTTACAGAATTTCACAGAAAAGCATCAGAGTATAAAGCTAAAACAAATGAAAAAATAAAGTGAATCAACAAAACTTATAAAGAAGCAAGTGAATAGCAAGCACACATAACACATTTCTTGAAAATGCTCACCTGAAGCATGTATCTTTCAAATAAACAGTTTGGTCCAGCCTTCCCCATTGGACATTCAAGCTCTTGTAGTTCAAGGGAATAGCACACTTTTGAGACATTACTTAGAGACCCACCAATTACCTTCGAGAGATTAAGGGCTAGAATAGAAATATACCACTGACCAACCTTTGGTGAGTTAACGACCAACGGAGATTTATTTAAGTTACCAGAATAATCATGTACAGTAGCTGAAGGCATTGCACCATAGCGAGCATAGCATATCAAGTCAATTCCGCTAACATTCCCAGTGCTACTTAAAGGTCTTAACCTTACATTTTCAGCTGAAATGGTTAAGAATTCAGCTATTCGCAGAATCTCTAAGGTGTATATCATTATTTCTTCATCTCGAAGGCAGGAGGTCTCAAAATTGTTCCTGCAAGAAACCATGCTTTGATTGAAGAACCCAGATGCAGAACCATTTCCAGAATTATTGCGAGATAGGCCACATGAAAGCTGCTCAACAGTTTGGTTGCAATATTGCCCCAGCATTGTTGAGGTTGCACATCCTTCCACGGTGATATTGGCCGCAAAGGAGTAAGAAGGACCTCGTACAATCTACAAGCCAGAGCAGTAGCTGTTAAGTCAGTTTCTAGTGGAATGTATGCAACAAATTTACAAAAGCCTCTTCTCGAAGAGGATAAACTGGCATGAAAGAACAAGAAAATATAACCAGAATGAAATAAATAGGAGCAAAAGCTAACATCGCCAAACAAGAATTTGAGGGTTCAGCACAAGATTTCTATTCCATCAAACTTAAATACAAGCAAAGATTCTTTTGGAAGAGAAGACATGTAATATGGCATCACAAACAAGTCTGGATATTTCCTTATAACCATCTAACAAGTTTCTGTCATGCATATATTACCATTAGAATATCCATCTATCAACAAAGTTCTATATGTGGTTCTTTAGGATTTTATAAGCATCTTCCACAAGTAAAGAAAACACATTTATTTTCCTCTGAAGTGAATTAAACAACACAGGTATATATGATCAGCCAATAAGATGCTTAACCACATGATACAGACAAGAATGACATAGAAGCACTACAGACAATGAAGCAAGTCGTAAGGTGCAAAATAGTGGAGCTAGTATTCTTACCATCTTCGACTGTGTTCTTGTAGGCCCAACACCATTGAAAAGACCAAAATACAGAACAGTGGCAGATATCTGAAACACATATTTTAAAGTTATAACGCCAACGGCTGAGTTTCTTAAAATCATATAAAAGAATAAATGAGGAAGTCTTGGAATAATCCATGTGCCAAACTGAACACTTTTACCCCAAACATCTCACACCCCTGATTGTGTGTAGAAATATGACAAATGGATGATGTAGTGCAATATTTGCATAAGGATTCGGTTAAACAAATTACACAAATATCCAATGTATCTAAGAATGTAAGGATGGCATCTCTGCGGCATAAAATATATTTGATAATGATAGCAAACCTGCTCAGTCGTCAACTTCATGGTCATACTTCTAGGTACAGGATAACACTGCTCTGAATTTTGAAGTATTTGTGCTCCTTCAAAAGAGCTGTTAGATAGTGAAGCTAGTTCTACAAGATAAGAAAATCTCTTTAAACATCTAGTCATTCAGGTTGATGAAGTTAGTAGTTATAGAAGAAAATAATATTTTATGTTTGTTTGCAAGATACCTTTTAATGAAGTGTTTGAGACATCTGGCAATGGGAGGCTGCCTTCTCTGAAACATATCATCGGCAGCACGCTTTTAGGAACTTTTTCAACACTTCTAATATCCTGCAAGCAGTTCGAAGCATAAGCAAAAGAAATAAGCAGGAGTTGATATTTTTTTAACCATTTGCATCAATAAAAGAGTAGAAACGTAGTATGAACAAACAGAAGAAATTCAACATTACTAATTAAACTAAAAACCTAATCATATTGGACAAGCATACTTACGAGGTTGACACTTGACTTCAATGCTATTGACATAGAGGAGAACCATGGGGGTAAATCAACTGTGACAAGGCAAATTGTAAATCCAATGAGACGTTACACAGTAAAGTAACTCAAAAAGTAATACTATCTGATTCATCAACATAGTCTTGAATCAATCCCATTTTCTAATTCCCAACAGATTTGACTGAAAAAACAAAAAACATTTAACTTTTTTTTCTCTCTTGCATACAAGTTGCAAGGAATAATATTTCCTAGCCTTCCATCAAAGGAAACCAATCTAATAACCATCATGGCAGAAAGGAACACCATCAAACTTGATAGTTCTAAATCATTGTCTCTATAGCTAATTTAACTTAGTCCTACTGCAGCAGAATTACAATTAAATATGACGTAACACTTCAGTTAAAAGAAAGAAAACTTAAACCAACAATCAAATTTGACTGAGAATTCTAATATTTTGCTTACATCATTACAATAGACAATTAAGATTAAAAAAATCAAAGAATGTTAAAATAGAAATTAACAACAATAAGCAGAAATAGCTATCCAATCGCTTAAGCTGAAGTTAAAACTTTTGACAACTACCCACTAGTCAGAGCAGTCTATAACAAAATCTTTAAGGAAAAAAAACAAAACAAAGTAATTGACCCGAAATGGCTAATTAAAAACAGACCGCGAGAATTAGTCTTACGTACCTCGCATATAACGCATATCAAAAGGTCTGATCTGGGTTTCTGGGTATTTGAAGCTAGATATAGTGAAGGTGTTATAGTCACCAAGTTGCTCAATTGAATTACAGTGACCAAATAAACAAGAAAAGAGAGTGAAAAGACTTATGATCAAGCTAGAAACGGAGCAAAGAATCGAATTTTCTGCCATTTTCTTTTTGTGGCGATTCTTACAGTGAACCCGTAAATAATAATAGCAACCAGGAGATTACTTAAAAATAAAGGAATTAAAAGTACAAAGGAGCTGTTTGGAAGCTGTTCACTAAAGTCCCTAATTTAGATTTCAATGGAAATTGTTTTTTTAATGCCAACTTATTGACTACAACCACAGTGCGAGTCAATTTAAGCAAAAGGAGATGAAAGAAAGACCACGCTCGAACAAGAGGAATCTGTCAAAACGCGCCACCCCATTCGGAGGAACTGTTTGGTATTTGATCAAGAAAGGTGAAAGTATTTGAACCATGGAAAAAGCAAATTTAAGAGGCCATAACCAAACATAGATTAGACTAATTTTGAAGGGAAAAATTTGCTTGCTAGCACAATGCCTAGTTAAAAAAGCAATAATTTTTATAATTAATAAATAAATGACACCAAAAAATATTTATAAAAATATTATATATGTCACTCACATATGATAACGATGTGCTTAGTCGTCATTGTTTTGTAGAAAATATAGTTAATTAAACACATTTTTATCTTATGTGATACCTTAATTATACGATATGTTTGATTAGTTGTGTTTGTAATAATAATATAATTTCAAAATATAATTTTTGAAAACTAAATGTTTTAAAAAACAAATTTTATTAAATACATATTTTAAAATTACTTGATTAAAGATTTCTAATATATTTTCATATTTTTATCAATAATAAATTTTAAATAACAATAAGTCAAAATTTAAAAAATCAATAAAAAAATCAATAAAATATAATTTAAGTGGGACAGAAAAAATAACACATTAACTATTACAAGAACAAACTGAAAAAAACAATTGTTTACATAGGATGATAATTCTTTCGCCGTAATTTAAATTCAATAACATTATTTATAAAATGCGCCTAAATTTATTCAAACGAAAAAAAAACAAATATTTCAATAAAACGTTAAAAAAAAGTAAGAATATACAGAAAATTATATATTATTTATTCGTTATGTAGCTTATTTGTATTTGCCACCCACCTCTCACGCGCGTTTGAGTCACTTTCCTTCTCATGTCATCTCACTTTATTGTTAGACCATTACTTTCGTTATTTAACTTCTGGGTAAACTACAGCAGTGACCACTTAACCTTTAATAAACATTTATTTTAGTCATTAAAATCGATATTTTATTAGAAAATTAATACTCCAATAAGGTAATGACACATTGGTGGAAAATTTAGGAAAAATATTAAATGAAATTGTGGTAGGTCAAACATAGGTCTTTAAGGAGAGGATTTCAATACCCAACCATTAAGCTAAGTTCGAGACTTTCTTACATTTAAATAAAATATTTGATACAAATGTAATATTAGATTTTTAGTTGATGAAATATTAGATCATTTGTAAGTAAAATTTATTATACTGCTTTTTGATTTTTTTTTTAAAAATAATTAATATTAAAGTAAAAATATCTACATGAAAATTAATTCATAAAAATATGTAAAACTTATAACATCTTCATATTTATTATATTATTAATATAATTAGTATATTAAATAAATTAGAGAATAAATAATTATATTTTATCATTACTCTTTAAAATATGTTTTATGAATAATCGAATGCTAAAAGTTTAATATGTTCAAAATCTTCTATTTTTTTATTGCTTCTGATGGTTTATTAAATAAATTATAAAAAAAATCTAAAAATAGTAAAATAAAGATAAAAAAAATTAGATCATAAATTTAACCTACTAAAATATATTTTTGTAAGATAAGATATACATTATAAATCAAATAATAAAATTAATAGTATTAATTCTTAACTCATTCACTCTTAACCAACAGTCGTGCAACGATAGAAACGTCACAAATACAATATTAATAAAAGTAAATTAAATATTAAAGTACTATTTAAATGTACATAACACTAGTTAAGTATTAAAATAATATGAAGTGAAATATTTAATAAAATTACACCATAAACAATTATTTAACAAATTAAAAATGAAATAAAAGATTTATATAAACAGAACTCTTTATTTCAAGGTTATCTTATATATATATATATATAATTAGTAAACGATTATTACCTTTCGATAAAGTCTTTTCATATTAGTAAAGAATGTAAACTCTATCTTATGAATCATAGATATTAGTGGAGGAAGGAACTTAACGAAGGGACGTCTGTGTGTGATTATTGATTTGAATGTCTTATTAAAAAAATTACCCGTTTTCTTGAAAATATATGGTAAATATTTTTCACGAATCAATTTACTTTAGTGGCTCAAGAAATCATTGTTGTTTTTAGAGGTTACGGATTCGAACACTAATGATTACATGATAATTGAGCGTTTATTGTCAAATTATAATTTTTAGTACTTAAAATTTGATAGTTTAGATACTGCACGTGTTAAGTTTCCAAATACGAGATGTTAAAATAAAACAAAAACTAAACGTTATTGATAGTTTTGAAAAAAATAATGAAAATTTAAATATTAAAACAAATAAAAATTGATCGTTTTATTTGGTCACCTATCTATTAATTAATTTTATTGTAATTATTTAATTATTATTATTATTATTTAAATCATAAATAACATTACATTTTAATTTCTCACATTAAAAGATTAGCAGTAATATTTATGTAAATTAGTATCATGATAGTGTTGAAAAATAGTTTTAAAAATACTACATCATTATCAATATTATTTTTTTAATGACGAATGATCACAAATAAAATTATATATAATTTTAAAATAATAATAATTTTACGACTTGAGTGACTAAATAAATAATTTACCCAAAAACTTGTTATAGAGTGGCTGCTTTTAGATCTGCAAAATACAATAAAACCCACGATATGGCCGTCATAGGAAGAATCGACCGGCTGAGAAGAGATAGATAAACACTTCCCTTTTCGATAATTTTGTTTTTCTTTCCTTTTCTAGGCTTCAGTTTCGTTTTATATTCATTTTCTCTCCTTGTCTCTTACTCCACCATTTGCTGATTTTATTTATCTTTTCTATTTACTCCTCAGTATTTAAATCCTATACCCTAATAAGATCATGAGAATTCGAAAGAACAAGAAGCTATCGTCACTGATATACACGCAGGGTTCCAGGACCGACGGTGTTCACGTTTGCCGGCTGAACCAGTCGACATGGGATGCGATTCCTTCCTCTCCAGAACCGTACCCTTCTTATCTTCATCCCCAGGTAAAACTCCTTGCTCCCGTTAGCCGTTATTCTCCTCGTTTGTTTCCTATGGCAGATCTGCTTTCTCCTCCTTCACCATTGCCTCCGTTCGTCTACATCTATGCTTCCTTTTAAGGCTTCTTCATTTAGGGTTTTAATAAAACCCTAAATCCCTCATTATCGTGTGTGTTTTCTCTTCCAAATACTCGATTTAGGCTAAAGGGTCTTCATCGTCTCCGCGTATTATTTCGTGATTCGGTTTTATTTGTTTTCTAACGTAATTTACTGGTTTCCTTTTTTGAAATAACCCAGTTCGAATGTGAAGATAGCTTCAATGGAAATGGGAGTATTGACGATTCTATTGGTGCTGTTGAGAGGTAATTTATTTCATGTTCTTCAATTCGACCCCTTTTTATCAATTTGCATCGTGGTATCGCAATAGGGTTTGGTGTCTGTTTAAAAAAATAGTTGAATAATTATCCAAATAAATTTTGTCGATGCCCTTGAATGGGCTTGGCGAGTTATTGAAAGTGAAAACCCAGTTTATGTTACTTGAAAAGTGTTGCGTTATTACTGAAAACGCAGCGTAGCTACAATGGTGGGGAGTGAAGAGGAAGCAATGATGAAAGTGGAAGGCATGGTTATAGATGATAATAACGATAACAACGAGACTAAATCAGCCAAGCAATTTGTGTTCGAGAGCCGATGCGAAGAAGAAGAAGAGGATAATGAATCGAACCAAGAGCCATGTCTATTGAAATCTTGCTACAACAGCAGCGATAGTGGGGATAATATTAATGTCAGCAAGAAAGTCGAGAATTACAACAATCAACCGACCGTGAGCCGTCAAGTACGAGCACGAGCATCCAGGAAATGCTCGTCATCAGCGTCGAAGCCGTATGAATTTTACTATTATTCTGGGTTTGGACCGTCGTGGGGGAAAAAGAGACGCGGCGAAGATAAAGTAAAGGAGGGAATCAGCAAGAATCAAATTGAGCGTAAAGAGGTCGAAAACAACGGAAACGTCATCACTTCCCAAAACAATTCGGCGCAATCGTATTCCTCACAAATCGATGATAATAAAGAATTTGATTATGTCGATGACGACGAGAAGGATGACGAGAATGGGGACAGTGGCAACAAACGAATGAGAAAGCCCATTAAAGCAAGATCGTTGAAGTCCCTAATGTGAAGGAGGGAACAAAAAACAAAAAGGTCTGGGTTTTGATTTTGTATTTTCTCTTTTGTATATGCCTTAGTTGAAATTATCGTATTTTGCATGAATTGTGCTCTTATTTTGATTTTTAGGGGTTTTAGGTTTGGGTAAATTCCGTATTTAGTATCTAAATTATTAGTTTTAATTTTTTTAGTATCTAAACTTTTATTTATCAAAATCATTCATAGAGTTTAATTTTTATTTCATTTTAGTACCGTCTTTAAAAATTTTAGTCTTCGTTTCATTTAGTATTCCATCAAAAATTGATGTTAAGTTTTAAATTTTTTGAAAATTTATGTATTAAAACGAACTACAATTGATAATTTAGGTACCAAACACATAAATTTTTAACGATAGAATACTAAAATAAAATAAAAACTAAACTCTTTAAAAACTAAAACAGACTATAACTAATAGATGAAGTACTAAATGCATAGTTTACTTTTAAAGTTTAACTGATGGTTTCTGCGCTGGCGTCGCTTTTTCTTTTTGATGGTTTTTTGTCCGTGAGTGACTCGCTTAGACGGGGGATATGATTAGTTAATGTCTGAAAATGGAGGGCATTTTTGTAATTTTAATATTTTTATCCTCTTCAGTTATTTTTTTGTGGGCTCTTTTAAAAATAGGGTGACGTGGCGAGAGGAAAATCGTTGTTCAAAATTGGGCTGCGTTTGCCGTATCATAAATCTTATTAGTAGCAATTGGTCAAATTTAATTTCTCCCCGTGCCCAGACTTGATTCCGGTATAGTTTTGCCGTCGGCCGATGAGTTAGAATTTTCGTTTTCTATTTTCCGAGTCATCTTTAGTCTTTTAATTTGATTGGTTTAATTTTTTTTAGAATATTCATTCCAGAGTATAAACTCCCGTTTAATAACAGTATTTCAATTTGAATACAATGACGGATTTACAAATAATTTTAAAGTAGACGTAAATGAATCGAACGCACACGAACGGAGATATGTTCATGTTCGTTCATTTAATAAATAAACGAACATAAACGAACAAATTTTTTTTGTTCATGTTCGTTCATTAAGGAATATAGCTTGTTCATGTTCGTTCATTTAATAAATAAACGAACATAAACGAACACGAATATAAACGAACACGAACATAAACGTTGGAGACTCTATCTTCCATTGTTCTTTCATGAAAAATAGTTGACAATGCAAATCAACCAAATCTACAATGATAAATAGCGTAAGAGCTGAATAGCAGTGATGAAATGTTTGAAGATATCAAATATTGCGATCGATCTTTTAAATATATTAAATGATTCACATGACTTTAATTTAACGCATAACATTTATCTTAGTGGTCCATGATTACATATGAACAATCATAGATGTTAATAATAAACAAAATAGCACGGATCAAGAGACCTCAGTGGTAGAGAAATTTTTATTATTCTTTAAGGACCCAGATTCGAGCACCATAGATGTTAGGAGAGTGAACGATCAATGCCAAAAGATAGATAGTTTATCTTTGAACATATATTATTTTATACTGTGCTCTCAGTTTATCAACATATTGAGCTATAAACAATTGGGCTATAAACCTAAGTTGTTTGAAGTTTTATTTAGCCAAAATACCCAATTCCTCTATACAAAAAAACCCTATCATCTTTCCCATTGAACAGTAAAATATGAACCGATCACGTCACTTTAATATTTTTTGTATTATTTTAAAATATGTATGCAATATTTGTTAATAGATTGAATTTTATTGTATTATTTTATCATGAAAATTAAAAATATCGTAGTCCAACTACTTTGGACAATATAATTATTATACGATTCGTGCGTGTGTTTATAGAGTAATACTCTAATTAGTCATGTCAGGTACTAAAATAATAACAATTGACGTTGAACGTTCACACTTTTGGTATTTATGGTGCTTAAATTCGGATTCTCAAATAATAACAACAATTCAGGTCCACTTGATTGATCTTATATCTTATATATACAAGTAATAACTAAGGGTATATAAAAATAGACTATAATCATTTATAAAGATAAAAATATCATCTCAGTGTATCATAGAATGTTATTTTTTAGGAGTGTTTTAGATTTATCATATTTTTATAATTTTTCAAACATTATGAATATATTTAAGTCAGATAAAATTAAGAAAAATAGATATTGGAAAAAAAAATAATTAGGGATGGTGTTCTGATAATATTGTCAATATATGAGGAGGTGACTTTGATAAATTCACCGATAGATTAAGATAACTTTAACAAAATAATCGACGACTTTATTTTATGTTCACTTTCGCATTTTAGTAAAAAAAAATATAAAGAAATATAAAACACTAAAATAAAGATTTTCATAAATCAGCATTTTATGAATTTTGAGCTCCTTTTGTAAACTCAACATGTCATTTTATTATAATATTTTTATAAAATTTCACTTTAATCCTTGTACTTTTGATCTTATTTTAAATTTGTTTCAATATCAAAGCAATATCTTTCATCAAAATATTATAAATTTGATGAATACAAATCTAATAACGTAAACACGAATAAATCAAAGTATCGTTCGTAATACAATCGTTTAAGTATCTTGTTCATAAAAAAGTATTGTTTGTGCTCATGTTCGTGACTAAATTGAATATTATGATAATATGTAGAAGCTATTAACAACTATTAAAAAATAGTTCAACTCTTCTCAAAAGTCATTAACCAACCCTTTAATTATGAGTTTACAACAACGAAGCTTACTCTTGTGAAAAGTGTATGTGATTATATCCACAAGATGTGAGATTTAGTAGTTAAACTTAAGACAGTTTAGGTTAAAATGTTTAAAAAATAGGCACTTAAAAGAATGACGGTCAAAAAGATAAATTTAAATATTGAATTTTGAGTATTTTAGAAGCAATAATTGTTATTATCCTCGTACTCATACGTGTCTGATTAAGTTCAAAAGATATATTTGACAATTCAATATTTAACGAATTTCATCATGATATTCTCAAATTACACATTATTTAAATATACGTTTTTTAAGTATTTAAATATGATATTTTAAACATAAATTCATTAAATGATTGAAGATAATGTATATACATACATGCCATTATCATTGTATGGTTCATATTCAAACAAATACGTATCTTTGATAAGTATCAAGTATATTTTTTTAAAAAAATAAAAGGGTGAATTACATGTTTTGTACCTAAACTATCAATTTTGGCCCGTTTTAGTACCTAAACTTTCATTTTTTTCAAAATCATACTTAAAGCTTATTTTTTGTTTCGTTTTCGTACTTTTGTTCAAAATTTAACATTAATTTTTTTAAAAATTTGAAAGTTTAAGTATTGAAATGAACCAAAACTGATAGTTTAGGTACTAAACACATTAAAATTTTAATGGTGGGTATTAACTGAAACAAAAACTAAATGTTAGATATGATTTTGATAAAATGAAAGTTTAGGTACTAAAATGAAAAAAATTGATAGTTTAGGTACTAAATGCATAGTTTACCCAATATAAAAATAATATAATTTTTAACATTTTTAATCCATTTTATTTCATAAATATTTTTTTTGGTATAGTATAAAATGGTCCTGATTATAGGGTGTTGCTTTATTGAGTTTCTAACTATCAAAAGTTACAAAATGAACTTTTTACTATATGATGTTATTTTGTTAAATCATCTGACTATTAAAAATTATAAAATAATCACCTAATTATTTATTATATTATAAATTCATCATTTTTCATTAACGATAACCTAAGTTGAATGTTAATTTGTTATCTGAGATATGATAAAAATTGATCTTATAATCTCAAATAATTATAATATCTCATATAACATATTAACCTCCAATTTAAACTGTTGTTAATATTTTAACAGAAAAGAATAAGTTTGGAACATAATAAATAGTCAAATGATTATTTTATAACTTTTAATAATTGAGAGACTCAATAAAATATCATATTATAATCAGATGATTATTTTATAACTTTTAATAATTAAAAATCTTGACAAACAATATCTTATAATCGGATTACTATTTATATCCCGTAGCCTAATTTTTTTAACTGCTAGTTTGGTTATTTCATAAAATTGCCAAATTATCCTCCTCCAATTTCATCAAACCCAAGACTAGGGAAAAGATTTGAATTCAGTGGGTCTATTTTACCTCTCTCAACTCTCGAGTAGGGATGAACGATGCACGATTACAGCGACGAAACCGAGGAGCGTGGGCCCTGTTTCATCCAACTACCGCGTCATCTTTACTCATTTCGATTTGTCTTCACATGAAGGCCTTCAATTCGATTGAAGAAGTTGCAGTCGCGGCTTATAATTTGATTTTTTTTAAACCCAGAATCAAACGGGGAAACGCCCAAGTGTTAAAAAAAGATTCCTTTTCTGTTCTTAAAGCGCGAGAGGCCAATTAAAAAAACTCTTCTGCAACTGCAACCACTATGATTTGCTATTTTAATCACTTGCTGGCGCCCTTTGTCGGGGTACGCTTCCCGATTGCTAAGCCTTTCGTATTGAGAGCCCAGAACCCCATGGCTTCTGATCTCTCCTCCGACAACTCCGTCTTCCGCGGCGTCTCCTCCTCTCCTCCCATCCGCCGCCGTGATATAGTCTTCGTCGTCAATCCTCGAGGTTTTTCTTCTTTTTCCCACTTTTTGTTTTGTTTGTTTCCGGAGAAAATGGCTTGCTTCCCGGATTTCTTATGCTTGATTGAGTGAGGGATTTGAAGCAGGTGCTAATGGGAGAACCGGTAAAGAGTGGAAGAAACTGCTTCCTTATCTTCAATCTCGCCTCGGTAGTGATTGTAACGTGAGTTTGATTTTTCATTTTTTCGATTAATCATCGCTTAATTAAATCTTTTCCCCCTTTTTTGCCAGTCTTTTGCCACTCAAATGAGAGTTCAAAGTGTGTTTTTTTGGGTGAATTTTGCTGAAACTCTTTTACATGTGTGGCAGATATGTGAATCTTTGACTTCTGGTCCTTCTCAT